AACCATATTTTGACCTGCTTTGAACCGAACGCCGTCCATGATGCTTTGAAACTCCTTTAGCTCTCGCTCTTTGCTTCTCCCTGCAGGAAGGAAAACCTAGTCCTAGCGATGTCCACTTTGAGATGCGCTTCGGTAGACCTGTACTGCCAGTGCCTCTAATCGATCGCCTTCGTCGTCGTCGTCATGGCCGTCGGCATGCTCCTCTTCTCTTGGCGAAAACACCGGGGCATAAGAACTTGGCCCGGCCCGTGCTCGTTCGTCTGCAGCGTCTTGCAATTGCTGAACCAACGGCGGCGGCCGAACATCAAATCGTCCCGTCAATGTGCTCGATGGGATCGTCTCAGTCTTTGTGGTCGTGTCTGCCCGCGTCCCCTGTGACCCGTCGTCCTTCAAAGTCAGAGACTTCTCACTTGCCAGATCTAGAGAGGCTCGGGCAATGCTCGCGGATCTTTGCATTTCCTCCGCCTGGCGATTCATCTCCATCGTGGATCCAGCCGACAGGGGTGGGGCGCTTTCCCTGGCCGATGCGCCTCGTGTTGCGTTCCTGTCGGGCGAAGTTGATTCAGGTGCTGTCATCTCCAACTCATCTGCCTTGACCTCCTTCCACGAACATTTGGCATGCTTCTTGGTACAGCCCATGCACGCGGTGAGGTTCTTGAGGCAGTCCATGTGCAGCCTGCGACATCGATCGCAGGGAGGAATCACCCGGTCGCCCTTCCACATGTTATCCATTCTTCGCACCATCTCCGCCTTGAACGGCCCACCGTCATCTCTATCCAACGTAGCGGGCTTCATGTGAGGCATTAGAGACGCCGGGGTATTCGGTATGGCCACTGTCGACGCACTGCCCGCTCCCAGTTCAATCGAACGGGAGCGCTGCTTTTCTGCGGACGCGGCTTGCATCGCCTGTGTTCGAGCGGTGCTACCTCCCAGCGACGAACGCCGAATGGTTTCTTCAGTCAAACCAGCTTCCCGTTCGCTTGGGGTCAAGAAATTCCTCATCAATTCGGCTCGCTCTGATGGAGAAGCATCTTTGATCGACTTGCCATTGATGATGGTGACGTTTCCCCCAATTGACGAGCCACAAGAGTCGTCGATAGTACTCCGTGGAACGTCGTTGGTGGAAGATGGACGCCGAAGGTCTGTTTCCGCGGAAGTAGATTGTCTCAAATTGACTGCCCTAAACCCGACCGGCGGTGATTGAGAGGCCTCAACGCTCCTTACTGCGCGGATGCTGCTCGCGCCGTTCGCGTCTCCGGGCGAAAAGGGAGGAGCTTCGGTTCTCACGGCGTGTCGCTGTGCCTCGGCCTCCTGCTCACGTCTGCTCAAGATTGCTGTGCGCCGACCTTTCATCTTGTGGATCAATTGTCGCGCTCGGCCAGATACTGGTCCAGATTAGCTTCAACAGCCATGAAGTACAATAAACTACCGACGTACCTTGGTCTGCAAGCTGAATGACCTGGCCGAGATTGCGGTCTAACAGATCCATAACACCCAGTTCCTTTTCTTCGTCTTCAACAATGGGCTGCGGTGGGATAAGTTTCTGTGGCATCCCACTGGCGATGAGGACGAAATCCTCCTCCGAGATCTCGACCCGACACTGCTTGGTGTAGAACTGACAGACCCGCACTCCGTTGCGAGTTCTTTCTAGGTTGAACTGTTTGGGGTTGTTCTGAGCAAACTCGACCACGTCCAACCAGCTCACATGAGCATCTTTTGCATGAGACTTGAGTATCTTTGGAGGCCCATCAAACATTTTTTCGAACCGCTTAACGAGGATGGGGCCGACCGGACAAGCTCCCAAGTTGCCTGCCATGCTCTCATGGCGTTGTATAACCCCATCATATTCCCCCAGCAGGCGAGCTATTTCCGGAAGCTTGTCATTGACCGTGACAAGGGGGATAGTGTCCTTGTGTTGCCGGACCAGGTAGTTGATCTGCAGGTGGTTTGTGGCAGTCCGGGGGATCTTTGCTGCTGGGAGGGGTTGAGGCTCGGTCGGGGAGCGCGGTCGCTTTAGAGAAGATGATTGCTCAGAGCTCATTGTGGCAGGAGGCTGTTGCTGGATCGATTTAGCATAGAGGTGGGAGGGCGCCCGAGTCGCTTTGCGTGCGCTCGGGCTGCGCGTGCTTAGCTAAGGTGCTCTCGGAAGGGCGAAGTCGAGAAGGGCGCGGGCGGAGGTGCGTGGGAGGGGTTGCAGCATCAGCTTCGAATAGTTGGCCCAAGGCGGGCAAAGCTATTCTTGAAGCTGCAGCGCCGTGAGCGGAAGAGAAAATCGCAGTCGCGGTCAACGAGGTTAGAGGGAAGAAAGTACGAAAGAGAGGGGAGAGGAGGTGGGAGGAGGAAAAGGGTGGAAGCAGTCAAGGGAGGGAAAGCTGTGGCACGTGGGTAGGGTCTGGGTCTGGAGGAGAATGAAGTGGAAGTGGGAACCCTAAAGATCCGACGGGGCGGAACGGGTAAAGGGTATGACCGAGAGGGCGAAATAATTTACAGAGAACAGCGAACTGCTATGAGCGAGCAGAAGAAGAAAGCGAAGTTATGTGTGTGCGAGAGGAAATGAAATGAGAGGGAGGGAAAGGCATCCAAAGTCCCAGGTGGAAACGGCGAGACGGTAAAGACAGCGGCCAAGGAGAAGGGCGGGTTTGGGGTCTGCTGCTCGCTAGGTAGGGGAGGTACGGAGCAGGGTTGTGGCAACCAACCAAGTTCCAGAGGGCTTGAGGACCCGTGAAGGGCTCCCCAGCCCATCAGCCGCCAGCGCCGCCTTCCTTGGTCGACCATGAGTCAACGAGCGCACGCGGGGCTTATCGCCCATCGACCCCCTCTTCAAGCGGCAGGAAAACTGAGAGCCTGGGTAAACTGGAGGTAAAGGGGAGAACAGAATCTGCCACTTACCTCTCACAGCTATGGCTGCTGGGGGAATGGACACGCGGACGCCCATAGGGACTGGAGTGGTCACCCGGGCTCGGACGGAGATGACCAGCAGTCGTCCCGATGGAATCAGAGATGGCTGCGCTGCACTGCCTGGCCCTGACCTGCCTGGCCCTCCTCTCTGGAATGAAAAAGACTGAGAGAGGGGAAGGGGGAGAATGTGGTTTTGGAGGGGGGATGTGCCGCCGGCTGTCAACTAGCTACCTAGGCTCCTAGGTAGGCAGATTCTAGTTGGTGCGCGGGGTTCAACCAGAAAGGATCAGTGGGCGGGAAGATCCCTCGGTGGTACAAGAGAGGTGTGCTCGGGGCACTTACGGGGGGAGGACTCAGGGCTACTATGAGTGGTGCAGGCTAAAGGTGGAGGTGACTAAGGTGAGATCCGCTCCGCCCAATGATCACCATTCCACAACAATCCTCTCTCAGACGCTTCGGCGGAACTTGTAGTGCACCATTCAACGTCACCACGTTTGTTCCTTCAGCCTCCCCCCTCTGTCTCCTTTGGCCCTTGCCGCCTTTGACCGCCAGCTTCCTACACATCACTCCACCATTTTCCTAGACCTGGCCAAGCTTCGGCTTTGCGACTTCCAAATCACCGATTGTCCCTCTCCAACCGCCCAAGAAAGCTGTATTACCAAACTCTACGGGGTACCTAGGAACGCAACCCTGCTTAGCCTGCTGGATTTTAACTGGTTCCAAAAAAAATCACTTCTCACCACCCACAGTCCATTCGCACACTAGCCTCTTTACGGGCTTGGGAGTTCTTCCGCCTTTACTGCGAAGGACCACCTCTTACTGAAGACATTTGTACTCCCACCCTCCGTCAACAAAAACACCCTTCACTCGTGGGAAGAAAATGTCCGAGCGAGGTCATTTTCGTGGAGGCGGCCGGGGAGGCAGCGGAAGAGGAGGTGGAAGAGGTAGGGCCGGAGAAGGCGGTCGAGGTGGTGGTGCTGCCGCCTCTTCACATCAGTCCAATCAACCGCACGAAAAGCCCAAGAAGGAGAACATCCTGGACTTGTCCAAATACGTCGAGAAGCAGATCAGTGTCAAGTTTAATGGCGGAAGAGAAAGTATGTCCCCGTGGGTGTCGAAGTCGTTGACTTGGGCAGACACGAAAAGCAAAGACTTTTTCCCTTTACTAACACAGCTGTCCTTCCTCCAGTTGCTGGCACGCTCAAAGGTTACGATCAATTGATGAATTTGGTGTTGGATGACGTCAAGGAAACTATGAGAGGTGACTTCGGTCCCCAAGCCAGCTCACACCGCTGGTGCGAAGACATTCGGGGAGACGCTGACGATGAGGCTAGATGATGAAGGCAACGAGACAACCCGACCGCTGGGCCTGGTCGTCGCGCGCGGCACCTTGCTCGTTCTGATATCCCCGGTCGATGGGAGTGAAGAGATCGAGAATCCTTTCCAGCAACCGCCGGAGTAATGGTTGGAACCGCTCCGTGCGAGCAACAATGCCGGAGCTCCAACTCAAAATCGAACTCCCAAGTCACATATCAGCCTTGCTATACTTCACATCAGAGACTTGGTGTCCAGCCTGCGTCGCCAGTCAAGAACCGTACACCACCTGCTGCGCTTATTGGTCGACAAGGGAACATCATGTGCGAAACATTCCTAACACCAGACAAGTGCGTCCTTTGCGCTCGAGCAAATTGCACATCTGGACAGGGTTAAGGCCATCCCCCGACCAATTTCAATGATGGATTTCATCAAAAGGAGTGAAAGAAATCCATCGAGATCAAACAGCCGAGTTACAAACGGAGATTACGATTTTTTTTATGGTTTCGGATGTCTCGCTCCTACCTCGCTCCTCTCTGGCCGTTTTCTTCCAAGATCGTAATCGTTCCCTTCCATATCAAGTTCCACCACATGTTCTGCAATGAGTGTCCCTCCTGTCACTTCCTTCTTGTCACAGATCGCCTTTCAGTCCATATTGGCAGATCCGTGATTGTCCGAGAGATGTATTTATCACTCATGGCACCCCCACTTTCCTTTATTACTTCCTTCGACCTGTGAGAGACCATCTATTCCACTTTTCTTTTCTTTTTTTTTTTTTAGCCTTCCACCTACCTCAAAGGCCCTCCTCTCTTTCCAACCAAATCCTGAAATGCGCTCTCCATCCCCTTTTTCAACTCGCGGTAACTCACCACAAACACGCTCTGTTCGTCCCTACTCACCAGCGTGATCTTCTCCTCTGTTCCTGCATCTAATTTGTTCAGGCACGTCAAAACATGTCCCAGATCCACAACGGGCCGATTCTGCGCATCGACCTGATGAAAGACATAGTCACGGAATAACTTGAGGAAATAGCGTTCCCCGTTTTCGCTCCAGGCTTGGTCATGATTATGTTCAGGTCGTTCGTTGATGAAATTTAATTTCGCCATGAGGCGGACGAGGCGCGCATTTTCGACCTCGCGGGCTAACTCAGAATATAGTGCGTCATCTGCGTGGAGGGCGGCATTAAAGGCGGTGATCATTTGGTTGGAGATCAGCGTGACGAATCCGTCTATGGTTTTCTCCGAGTTCTGCATTGCAGAATATAACCACACCACGGCGTTTTGGAGCTCGGGCTTGAAAAAGCGCTTGAACGTATCCATGTTGCGGGCAAAGTTTTGGCCCGCATCAAGTGTTCCTGAGCCAACGGCGAGGATGACAAGGGCGAAGTTGACGAGATCTTGTCGTTGGACTTGGCCGAGAGGCGTGTGGGTGTTGGCGTCATATTGCACCACGTCGAGGATGGCGCAGCCGTTTAGGCGAATGCGGTTCTTTCCCGTGACGAGAATTTTACTCGGGTCGAGGACCCGAGCGGCCAGGCCGGAGTTATGAATGGTTTTCAGTGCCGAGGCGATTTGTACAACGTAACTCCAGAGCGCGGGCTCAGTGGCTTGGTCTTTGCGAGCGGGTCGAGGGTTGTATGAATGTCCAAGGTGATGGTGTTCCACAAGGGTTTTGGAGAGGGGATGGTATTCCGTGGCGACGAAGAGGGACGAGTCGCCAAAGCTTCGGTTTGTGAAGACGTCGACAATCCGGACGACATTAGCACTTATGATATTCTTCCAGGCTTGGCCGGCGCGGATTGCATGCTCGTTTGTTAGACGAAAACCTGAACATGAAAGGGTCAGCTCTTGAAAAGACAGCAAATATGGGAGAAGTAGGAGAGTTCGAGGTCATACCTTCAATCCTTCGCAGGGCGAAGAAGTGCCCGTTGGCGCTTGATTGGGCTTTATATACCCAGGAAGTATAACCTCCGAATATGGTTGAACTTTTGTGGGCTGTGTCGAGGGGAACAAGAGAGTGATAATTCTCAATGTGGTTCGGTAGTTGTGAATCTGAGGAGCGATATCAGTTCAGCACCCCATATTTGAAAGAGGGCTTGGATGGATGCCTACTGGGTAATATTTGAAGAGCTGCTGCGGATTTCTTTTGAATTTCCTCTCGAAGATCGTTGGAGATAAAAAGGTCATGCACTGTACGTTGGTATGGCGTGAGAGCCGCGTTATATTGCCCAATCGGCGCATATTGGTGGTATTGGACCTGGCCAGGAATCAGCACCACTGTCACCACCTCCGTTAAGAGCCGCTTACTGGCTGTTGAAACGTGGGAGTATTTTGGTAGAAAGCGGCGCCATTGATACTATGGTCGAGATATGGATTTGGTGCATGGCTTGACTGAAACGTTTCATAAGTATGAGGTATAGAAACCTCGCTTTCACTTGTCTGGAAAAATATCTATGAGCATCGGACGGAAACAATCCTGCTCTGTTTGACACACTCACCAGCGAAGGTTCTTGGACTCGTCTGGGAACAAACTCTTGGACGTCAGGCAAAGCCCACTCCGGTGTTTTAGCATCCTGTCGGAGAGGAGTAGCGTTCGACGATCCTGGCACGAGTTGTAAGGCACCGGTGTCATCTGATTCTGAGATACTGGACATCTGCTCACTGGAGATGATAGCCTTTGGCGTGAACGGCGCAGCACTTGCCGCCTTCGGAGATATGCCAGTTGTTGATTTCTTGATGGCGATTGCGCCATTAGGAGATAGGGAAGAAGGCGTGAAACTGGGCGAGTCGACGTTGAGCGTCTTTTTGGACCGACTGCTTCCTCGGGTCTCAGCGAACGATACCTTGATCCCAGAACGGGCAAGATGGTTCCACCGTACCTGTCATTTTGTCCCCCATCAGAAGCAGGCTTTTCTACAGAGTGGGAATGGTTGAAGGTACATCCTAACGCAGCGAGTCAGTTGCATGTGCCACACCCATCTGGCCAGAATACCTTTGTCTTCATATCGGCATTTCCCGTAGATGGTGACGTTGCGACACAGAGTCTCCTTTGCATTTTCTGCCCGAACGTGGGATCAGCACTCCATGTCCCCCCCTTCACGCGCCTCAAAATAACGGTCAACATACCCCGGCCTTTGGGTCTGGGGGACAAAAGTGCCTGCTTTGTATCTTCTGCATTATTCTTGATCACTGCGGCCATAATCGGTTACTGAGGGAGGCTGAGCATGCTGCTCCATCAGCCTTAGAGGTATGTCTCCGGGTTTCGCTCAGGATCGAAGCATTTCCTGGAGTAGCAAAGGATGAGGGCGGAGACGGACGACGGTTTTGACTCGAGTTCGATTGGCAGGCTAGATGTCCGGGGCTGTTCCTGTGATGGTCGGGGTGCTAGCGAGGGGAATGAACATGACGACCAAGATATCCAAAATAAGAATCAGTAGACAAACGAAGATGGTGGCGCAGTCGCCAGGTAGGAAATGCAGTGAAATGGGAAAAGGGCGAGTCCAGGGGTCCTTTCAGCGCAGCCGCGCTCTGTCCGGAATGTCGTCTGTCGAGCAGCTGATTCTCTCGCAGAGAGTTAAGAGATACGAGGGTGGGAGACGGAGGGATGAGGTCGGCGGGATCGTCGAGGCAGCACAGGGCTGCACGGGGTCTGACGGTGCCACCAGCGGATTACGAGGTGCGCACATCCACCTTTCCACTCCGCGGTTCGCGTGCTCTCTGTTCCATTTACCGCACAAATCAAACCAGCTGCGCACGATCCTCAGCCTTTGGTTGGTAAAACCTAGCCTCGTTCGCCCCCGTCCCTTTACAGCCGTTGTGGTTGACCACAGAAGTGATTCCACCACTTGCCCAAGGAGAGGATCCATAGTGAAGCGACGACTTCAAGAGAAAGGAATAAGCATAAGTCGACATGTCTATTCGATCGAAGCGATAACCTCCCAGTGCATCCCTGCGTCCCCCCCGACCTCGATTCGAAAGATGTCGGCTCCCGATATCGCCCAACTGTCCGCGTCCCAGCAAGAAGCTCTACAAACCTACACCTCCGTCACTGATCAAGACCCTATTGCCGCAATCCCTCTCCTGCAACGATGTGAATGGAACGTGCAGATCGCGGTGGCCCGCTTCTTTGATGGGGAACCTTCAAGCAATCCTCTCGCCGAAGCACAAACACAGTTACCGACTGCCTCCACCCGTCAAACGACAAACCTGCAGTACGAATCTCTCCTGGCGGCAACACAATCCTCTTCCAGAACACCGCGGGCGAATCCCGAGGACATAGTGACGCGAGTTGACACGAGCGGCACAGTCAACGAACCAGTCTATCGTCCCTCGACGTTATTCTCCATAATCTTCACCCCCGTCAGCATTCTATACAGAGTTTTCACGACCGTGCTGTCACCATTTGGGTTCCTTGTTCCCACATTCCTCTCTCGTCTCTTTCATCGCCTTCTCTATCAGTCCCGGTCGCAGTCACGTACTCAGAGGCGAGCTCTACCGCCAGCTGAGAATGCAAGAAGATTCATTCGAGAATTCAGTGAAGAGTATGGCGCCGAGGGTCATGATGGAGAGTCGTCTGCACCCCTCCTCCCATTCACAGAGTCCGGGTTTAACTTGACCCTCGACACGGCAAAAAAAGATCTAAAATTTCTGCTTGTGATCCTCCTGTCTCCTAGCCATGATGATAATCACAGCTGGGTCCGAGAAACCCTCCTCTCTACGCAGTTCAAATTATTCCTCGACTCGCATCGTTCTGAATTGATACTCTGGGGTGGTGATGTGAGGGATTCAGAAGCCTACCAAGTCTCTACCAGTTTACAGTGTACCAAATTCCCCTTTGCAGCACTCATATGTCAGGGCTCGGAGCCAGGATCGGGCTCACCGTCGGGAGCAATGACAGTTATCATGCGCGCCGTGGGACCCACGTCAGCATCGGAATTGGTTGCAAAAGTTGCCACAGCGATGACGGCGCATCAAACACAGCTCGCTGCCGCGAGGGCACAACAAGCAGAACGCCAGGCAACCCAAAGTTTACGAAGGGAACAGGATTCGGCGTACGAGAGGTCACTAGCGCAGGATCGCGAGAGGGCCCGGCGAAAACGGGAAGAGGAAGAAGCCGCAAAGAAAGCAGAGATGGAGGCCCAGGAACAAGCAAGATTGGCAGAGAAGAGGAAGAGGGACTTGGAGCAGTGGAAGAGATGGCGTGCTCAGTCGCTTCCGGGAGAACCAGATACGGATGTCAAGGACGCAATTCGGGTGAGCATCCGCTTGCCTTCTGGAGAACGGGTCATCCGAAAGTTTCGAGCGGATGCAGAGATGGAAGAACTGTATGCCTTTGTGGAATGTTATGAGGTTGTCACGTCCCGAGAATCAGAAAAACAAAGCTTGGAAGATGATGTGGAGGAGCCAGAGGGGTATGAGCATGAATACAGGTTTCGACTTGTTTCGCCTATGCCCCGGACAGTGTTTGATTTGGAGGAGGGAGGGTCAATAGGCGTGAGAGTGGGCAAAGGCGCGAACTTGATCGTGGAACCTGTCGACGAGGATGACGATGACGAAAATGAGGACGAAGATTAAATGAATGCAACTCGGGAGTACTGTGTCTAAATCATTGAATAGATTTTGCAAGAAACTGCAGGATTCGGTAGACGAGCAGACCAGTTGCAGCTTTATAGAACCGCTACATCTATATAGCATTTGGTAGGTAATTCGTACTATGTAGTAGGTCAGGATGCTGTTGGTCGCCCTTTGTCATCGGCAGTTTTCTGGCAATCCAGATCACAGAAGCATGGGGTCCTACATAGTTGATCTACGTACGAGATGCCATTTTGGTACTTTGGGAATTAGTCGATGCCGGTGTTGTTCATCCATAGTATTTTCCCATCAAGAGCATTCCTGCACATGTGGTGTTTACCTCCGCCTCCTCCCCCCAAACCCATGCCCGGATATAATCCCCCTCTGTCGAACCTCCAACCTCCCATTACACTGCCGAGGTGAACAGAAACAACCCGCACGACTTGACAACATCTGACATGTCTCCCCATCCGCGCCCTTGTCACACCGTAGCCTTGCATTCGAAAAGTCCTCCCTTTTCCCCGATCCCTATCGCGAAAGCAGCCTCGCAACAGCCGCCGCCGCCAGCACAACCAGAGCCACATCGGCTCTGTATTGTTTCCCCGCCTGGGCCTGCATGGCCAGTCCGGCCGTGAAGAACAACAGACTGACCCCCGCGGCGAGGAGCTTGAGCGCGCGCGTCCCAAAGAGGAGCGTCAAGCCCACGAGGGCGTCGACAGCGGGCGTCACGGTTGCGGCCACCGAGTCGTCATCCGGCAAGTGGTACTCCTGGAACGCGTACCATGTCGGCGTATACACGCCGTGCGTGAGGCGGGAGAAGGAGCCGAGAAGGACAACGGACGCGAGCAGGTAGACCGGGACGGTTTTGAGGGCTGCGGACATGGTATGCGTTGGTTATTCGGATATTCGTAGAGAAAAGAGAGATATTATGTACCCAGTAGATCGCGTGCTTCGTTCAGCCGCTACTCTCGATCGCAGAAGAAACTCCACCGTAGAATATTGCGTCTCTGTTTCTAAGGCTCCGCCGTAGCAGGTGCGTGGCTCGACAGCATCACTCTTGATCACTTTAACCGAGCCTTTGACTAATATTACATGTACATAGACTGAACATCGATAAGCACTCCTCCAACGCAATCTTCTAGAGGTGTTCACCGTCCAGCACTCAGATAAAGGGGCAAATGGATCTCTGTGTGACCTACAACTTCTTTGTCTGTCAGGGCTAGATATGAGTGTAATGGAGACTTTCACTTTTTCTCCTTGCACCAAAATCCCCTTCAACTGGGTTGCCTCCCTCTGGACAAAGTAACTACCTCATCTCTATTATTAAATCTGTTGAATCATGCCTCGCCAGACACCTCATCCTCAGACTATCTTTCACCTTGGTCCAGATGAGCAGTCTCCCAGGGCCAGAGAGATCCTTCGCCCGGACGACGAACCATTTTATCTTTGTATAAGAAATCTCCTAATACGAAAGAGAAAGATGAGTACCGAAGTGGGACAGAATACTGACCTTGTGATGCTCGGCGCGAATATTTCCTAAGTCTACTTTTCTTTTGAGAAGTATTTAGAGCCCCCTCAAATCATATTCCAGGACCGGTCCCGACTCTTCAGCACTAAAGTAGAGCTAGATGCCTTCAGGATAGATGGGTATTTCTGTAAGGTCGTCTTGCGGCCGGGTAGGACTATAAAATCAGCGCTAGCGCCGAGAAAAAATGACCAATTTATCTTTCACTTAAGATGGGTTAAGGGTGGGACGATCTATTATAAGAGATAAAGTAAGAATCTCAAATGGTGGAAGTACGGGTATAAAATCCTCGTTCGGGGCAAAGGGTTGAGAATGGGTCTATCGACCTTTCTTCTTAGTATAATAGCCGATTTCACGAATCAGCACTAATGCCGTCCAGGAATATTCAGTGAGGTAATGAAAGTCGCGAACAGAATTCGGGTCGCTTCATCGCGGTTAAGACAACGCGCTCGCAGCCGAATGCTGGCTTTGCGATGTCGAAAGAGGAAGCCTAATTACAGCATGAGGCCAAACTTCTCTCCGGTATTTCCCATGGAAATTCCTTCATATATTGGTTACAATATTACGTGCCCACAATGCGTACAGAAAAACATTGTCGAATACTTACGTTCTGAAGGTTTGAATAACCGGATCACCGGAAATTTCCTAAGACTTAAATTCGGAAACCTGAGCGATTTGCTCAACAAATCTCCGACAATACAAACTCAATCCAACGTCCTCGAGCGGCTGTTGCGTGAATTACTCGAGGCAGTAGATTATCTGACCTTCCCAGGGTTAGTCCATCGGACGTTAAGCTCGAAAATATTCTCTATACGCCGTAGGGCGACGACGATTACCTTTTCCAGTTGGCTGATTTGGCCTTGCCAGTTAACGACAGCTCGCAACAATGCTCTATGATTTTTTCCTTCACGTGGCACCTAAAATAACGTACACCAGGCATACGCTCGCTTAAAGTAGATGTTCGGTCCCTCTTTATCGTAATCGATGTTGTGACATAGTGTCACGAACCCACCGTTATCCCCAAGTACTCTACGCCCTCCACCCGAATCGGGTGGACGGTATAGAAAGAAAAGGAAAGGATAAGGCAAAGGACGGTTGAGGCA